AGGATGATGCTGACAGTGCAGTTGATGATGAAGATGCTGATGACGATGATAATGTTGTTCTTGTTGTTGGTGATGACGATGCTGGTGATGATGATCATGATGATGACCCCGATGAGGATGCCCTGATGCTGATGATTGGTAGTGCTGTTGATGATGATGACTGTGCTTATGACGCTGCTGCTGATGATTCGTATGATTTATGCTGATGATGCTGATAATGAAGATGATGCTGCTGCTGATGATGATGATACTGCTGATGCTTTATGCTGATGATGCTGATGTTGCTCAAGATGCTGATGATGATGCTGATGCTGCTCATGTTGATGACAATGTTAATGATGATGCTGACGATGATGATGATGATGATGGAGCTGATGATGCTGATAAGGATGATGAGGATGATGATGATGATGAGGATGATGATGATGATGCTGATGATGACGATGATGATGATGCTGATGATGATGATCATGCTGATTATGATGATGTTGATGATGTTGATGATGCTGCTGATGATGGTGATGACTCTGATGACGATGATTATGGTGATGGTAGTGGTGTTGTTGATGATGATGATGGAGATGATGATGATGATGATGATGATGATGATGATGATGACGATGACGATGATGATGATTATGCTGATGATGATGATGATGATGACGATGATGATGATGATGATGATGATGATGATGATGGTGGTGATTGTGGTTATGCTGCTGATGATGCTGATGATGCTGATGTTGCTGATGATGCTGCGGCTGCTGCTGCTGCTGATGATGATGACGATGATGATGATGATGATGATGATGATGATGACGATAATGATGATGATGATGTTGATGATGAAGATGAAGATGATGATGATGATGATGATGATGATGATGATGATGATGATGATGATGATGATGATGATGATGATGATGATGATGATGATGATGATGATGATGATGATGATGATGATGATGATGATGATGATGATGATGATGCTGATGATGATGATGATGATGATGATGATGATGATGAGGATGGATGAGGAGGAGGAGGAGGAGGAGGAGGAGAGGGAGGAGGATGAGGAGGAGGATGCAGTGGGGAGTAGAGTAGGAGTAGGAGTAGGAGGAGGAGAGGAGGAGGAGGAGGAGGGAGGAGGGAGGAGGGAGGAGGAGGAGGAGCAGGAGCAGGAGGAGGAGGAGGAGGAGGAGGAGGGAGAGGAGGAGGAGGAGGAGGAGGGAGGAGGAGGAGGATAGGCAGATGAGGAGGAGGAGGAGGAGGAGGAGGAGGAGGAGGAGGAGGAGGAGGAGCGGAGGAGAGGAGGAGGAGGAGGAAGGAGGAGGAGGAGGTAGGAGGAGGAGGAGAGGAGGAGGAGGAGGATGAGGAGGAGGAGGAGGTGGAGGAGGAGGAGGGGAAGGAGGAGGGAGGAGGAGAGGAGAGGAGGGGGGGAGGAGAGGGAGGATATGGAGGAGGATGAGGAGGAAGATGAGGTCGAAGAGTTCGAGGAGGAGGATGATGATGATGATGATGAGGAGGAGGAGGAGAAAGACACGCTGGTCTCCAGCTGGTCATCCCTGGTCTCCAGCCGGTGCCGCCCTCGTCTCCCACGCCTGGGCCCGCCTTTGAATCCTGTTCGAAACACACTCTCAGAGAGGTTCGCGGGTGAACTCTGAGGGATCGGGGAGGGGAGGACGGAAAGAAGCAGGACGAAGAGGACGGGGAGGTGGAGGATGATGAGGAAGGGAGAGGATGACGAGGACGAGGATGATGAGGAGGAGCAAGAGGAGCACGAGGAGGAGGAGGAGGATGGGGAGGAGGAGGAGGAGGAGGAAGAAGATGAAGAGGACGATGAGGAGGGGGAGGAGGGGTGGGACCAGGGTAAATCCAGGATGCGCCAACGATGCTGCAATGCACCTTCCTGTCCCAAGTCGTCCCTGCAAGTATTCCTTACCTCTGCGGAGCACGGCCAGCTTGAGTACCCGAGATTTCACAATAAAAGGGGGGTGGTCTGATTTGGGATGGGGTCAGATTTGAGCTGTCTTGGAGGGTTCCAGTGGGTCTGGGCAAAAAGCCGCCCTTCATGGCTTGCTTGGGGGGGTCTGGAATTGCCCGTCTGTGAGGGTTGTGACCCCCTCCCTTTTATGGCGAAATCTGGAGTAACCAGCGCCTGGCGGGCCTGCAACCAAGACTTCGTCGCGTAGAGGGTCCACCCTCATTCCTTGCAGCTTTCGGAGGCAGGACTCTCCATCGCGTCCACGCGAGTGTCCAGCGATGGCCCCCGTTCTGGAAAGGCTTAGCCGCTCATCCGAGCAAGTGTGGCACACTCTCAAGATTATTGTCTTAAAGCCTGTAGAACTACAACGAATCGTCCTAAAGTCTTATCGTCCTACAAGTTTATTGTCTAAAGTCTTATTGTCTTAGAGGCCCATTCAGAAAGCGAGTCGTCCTCCACCCGCGTAAGTGTTGCCCAGCTTGCAACATCGGGTCTCGTCCTTCGTGGGAGGTCTCAGGCGAGGGCCGCATTTTGAAAACGGGCTGGCCTCCGTCTTTGTAACGTGGGGGAACTTTCAATAGTATGAATGTGCGTGCGCTGATACGAGACTTGTATTCTGAACGTGAGACGGCGGCGCGGCGCGGGGCGAAGGCGAGAGCTACTTCACGAGGTGCGCGGCGCGAAGGCGAGAGCCGCATTTTGAAAACGACTGGCCCTCCATCCTTGTAGTAGCTGGGAGTCGCTGAAGCGAACGTGCGCAGCGCTAAGGCGAGAGCCGTTTTTTGGAGAACGAATGGCCATCCATTCTTGTAACCCTGCGGGCCGTACACCCCAGGCGATGCTTAAGAAAACCTAAGTTTTCGGCCAGAGTCTCGATTATTCTTAAGTTTTCAATGTAAATCCCCAGATTTTGACAGAAGTTCTGGGTTTTATTCAATTTCTGAGACTCTGAATTTCTGAACCCATGATTTCTTAAGCATTTCGCAAGGTGTAGACTCTGAGGTCTCAAGCGAGAGCCGCATTCAGAAAATGAACTGGCTTAGATCCTTGTAACGGTTGGAAGCTTTCAGAATGACTATGCTCGGCGCTGGGGCCAGAGCTGCATTCTGAAGACGAGCTCACCTTTCCACCCTTGCAGCTGTTGGACACATTTCTAGATGTGCGCGGCGCTAAGGCGAGAGCCGTATTGTAGTAGTCTCCCGCCAGGGCCGCCGATCCAGGGCGCTCCCGATGGTGCTCGGGTTCGCTTAGAGGCCCGCGGGGCCGTCTTGGGGCCCTCTTGGGGCCGTCGTAGGAGGAGGCTTCTTGAGGGTGTCTATGAGCCTCTTGGGGGCTTCTTGGAAGCTGCCAGCCCTCGATCCTTGTCATTGTTGGAAGCTCTTGAGCCGAGCACCGAAAGTACGCGGTGCCAAGGCGAGAGCTGCAGCTCTTGAGAACGACCGGTCCTGTAGCCCTGTAAGCTTTGAAGGGTGAAAGTGGGGGTCGGGCGCAGGGTCCCAGCAATGATGTTTTTAAAGGCCATGAATGGGCGATACATCCTCGATTGCTGTGTTCGGCGGGGGAGCCAATTGAAGCCCCCCGCCTGCACCCGCGCGCGAGACTTGAGGGGAAAGGAAGCAAGGGGGCGGGGGCTCGGGAAAGGCGACGAAGGCAACGCGCGCTAAGGGCGCAAAAAGAAATGGTTGGAACACACGGAAGCGGTCAGGTGAGTGTCGGAATCTGCCCAGCCAATCTGACATGCGGAACACTGCGCCTCAGTTTTGGGGATCTTGAAGGCCAGGGCAAAATGTGAATTCACATTGTGGGGAAGCGCAAAATGTGAATTCACATTTTGGGAAAAAGGAAAATGTGAATTCACATTTTGGGAAAAGGAAAATGTGAATTCACATTTTGGAATTTTGTGTAGGATTCTTTATGAAGGGGCCAGAATGTGAATTCACATTTTGGGAAAAGGAAAATGTGAATTCCCATTTTGGGAAAAAGGAAAATGTGAATTCACATTTTGGGAGAATCGCGGGGCCCAATCCAAATCTGTCTTGGGGGTCGAGAAGTCATCGTTTGGGAACATACGCGATCATCAACCGCACAATCAAGACACACTTGCACTCCACTTCGCCGGCCCACACGCAATATGCAAGAACGCCCGCACGCATGAACGATAAGGGATGGACGGCGCGCGTGCCCGCGCGGGCAACGCGCGGGCACGAATGACTGGCCATCAATGACCGCCAGCATTGGATGCCAATCGTACCCGATCACATACATGAACGATACATTGAGCATACATGGGCCATTCAGCCCCCATTGAAGACCCCCTGTTGCGGACCCCCTCTTTCACCCTCCAAAAGCTGCTGGAGTTTTTTTGTTACTTCATGGGCCATGGGCAGTAAGCTGCAGAGAAGTCTGAAGCGAGATGCCCGGCGCTGCCCACGGACATGTTTGGTGGTGTGATAATCGTTTGGGGCGGCCAAGAGGGGGGTCATGACTTACGGGGGGCGGATAACATGGCGGGTGTCATCATATCTCCCCAGATTTTCAATACGTCCCTGGCCCCCCACCCCCTGGGCCGCGCACATGCCGCCGGCCATGATTTGCGCTCTCCCCTCTTGGACGCCCCCCTCTTGACCGTTCCTGACTTCTGGGCGGCCCTTGTTGCCACCGCTGGATTCGTCCCGAAATCCTGGTCAGAACGCACCCCGGGAGAGGTCAGGGGGGTAGCGGTATCAGTACCTCTTGGTTTCCCCATCCGCAATCGATGATCCTTGGACGCCCCCCTCTTGGACGCCCCCGAACTGATTCTCCTCAAGACGTGTGTTTGCCCGGCTTGAGTTTGCCCCAGTCAGTGGCACCGGCAGCACGCAGCTCGTGTCGGCCCTCGTTGCGCCACCCGCGCCGTGTCTACGGGCTTCGGTGGACAGACACACGTTGGGGCTCGCACACGTTCTGAGGATCATTTTGAGAGAAGGGTGTTGTTCATCAGGGAGAGGGACTGGAGAGGAGGAGGCCTGTCTGACAGGTGGGTAATCGACGACTCTTACGTGGGCGTCTTCAAGGGCTGGAACGTGGCCGCGAAGAGCTCGCAGCTCAAGGAGATCAGCAGATTCGAGGCCGCACTGCCTAGATTCGAGGGCCCCCTAGCGCTGCGGTGACTACATCGTGTGGTGAGTTAGTGGTGACTCGAGGGGGCTGCATGGTTTTGGGACTTGTGCTTTTCTCCGAGGACGTCTCGGGCGGGCGACTGGGGCCTGGGGTCCCCAAGCCGTGCGATGACGGACCGTGCGGTGAGGTCTTTGTGAATTTTGAGGTCACTGCACGGTCTATCCCCGCACCGTCATGGGACCCCGAACAAATGACGAACAGAGGCGGTTACTTGGGCGACGCAGGAGAAAAGGCTTGATTCGCGCGTAAGCTTCCCGCGTCCGGTCGCGCGTAATGGTTCTCTTTTCACGTGAGCGACGGGAGATAAAGGGGCCGATGGCGCCGAGATTCGTGCGGAAGCTTCTCGCGTAAGGTCGCGCGTAAGCGCGCTCTTCTCCACGCGGTTTGCCACACTGGCGGCCCGCGCAAGCCGCGGCGTAAGGTCGCCACGTGTTCTTGCGTAAGACCCGTTTCTTCTCGCCGCTCTCGTGATGTGCTTCGTTGGCGGTCTGCATAAGCCATCGCGCAAGGTCACCGGGTCTTCGTTCGGCAGGCCTGCTTTTCTTGGCCGCTTACGTGCCCGCGGCGCGCAGGATGGCCTCCTGAGAGGGCAGGGGGCTGTTTGGAGAGGCCCCCCTGCCGGCCGAGAGGCCTTGCTGGAGGCCTTCCGAGAGGCCCCTGACCAGCGGCCGGCCGTCCTGCCTGCCGAGAAGCCCTGCCGGAGGCCTCCGCCCCCCCCCCCCCCCAAGACACGCTTCTCGGGAGGCCGCCCGCTGCCGCACTCGTCCCAGCCCCTTCTGCGCGCCGCCGAGTCTGCGGGGGTGGTGTGTGCGGTATCCGAGCGGTGCATCCCCTGGAGCCTCCTCCTCCTCCTCCTCCTCCTCCTCCTCCTGCTCCTCCTTCTCATCCTCCTGCTCCTCCTCCTCCTCCTCCTCCTCCTCCTCCTCCTCGTCCTCCTCCTCCTCCTCCTCCTGCTCCTCCTCCTGCTCCTCCTCCTCCTGCTCCTCCTCCTCCTCCTCTTCCTCCTCCTCCGCCGAAGCCTGCAGGAGGGAGGCCTCCCCCGGGGCCCCCGGGGCCCGAGTCTCGGGCCTGCGACGGGCCAGGGGGAGGCGCGTGCGGTCCGCATCCCCCCCCCCTTCCCCGTGCTCCGCCTCCTGCTCCTGCGGTAGAACATCGGGGGATCCCTGCAGCAGTGCCGATCTGGCGCCGCTCTCGCGCCGATTGCCCTGCTGCGTCTATGATCCTCGGTCCGCTAGGGCCAGCGAGATGGCATGGGGGCTCCCACGACTCGCCACCGACCGCTCCTCAGCTTCCTGCATCCCCTGCCCCCCCTGCTGCTCCCGCTGCTCCTGCTGGTCCACACCGCCCCCCCTGCTTGCCGCTGCTGCTGCTGCTCCTCCTCCTCGTCCTCCTCCGCCGTCCTCTCGCCGTGCCACTGGTCGGCGGCACGCCGGGGGGATGGGGTTCAGTGAGAGGAGGCAGGCCCTCTCAGAAGCCCGGGCCGCTTCCCAGAAGCCCTCCGTCCTTCTGAGCAGCCCCCTGTGCCCTCGAGGACGGCTTAGACTCAGTCGGGCATGTTCTCCTTCAGGCGGATCTTGGGCGAAACGTGCAAACATACTCCAAACATATTCCCTTATTATCAAAGGATGTGAGGAAAATCGTCCCCAGACTATCTTTTGACTATTCTTGAACATTTTTTTTTTTGATTATTTTTGACTTTTTTTTTTTGATTATTATTTTTATAAGGAAAATCGTCCCTAGACTATTTTTTGATTATTTTTGATTATTTTTTGACTATTCTTGCATGGTCCTTCTGTGGAGGGGCACGCCCGACCCGCGCTCAGACCACTTCTCCGCAGGCCGACGGCCTGCGGAGCCTTCCGACGAAGCCCGCCCCTTCTCGCTTCCCCCCCTGGGCGCGCCGCCGGCCAGAGGCCCCGCGCGGCCCCGCGCGGCGCCGCGCGCGGCGCCGCGCGGCCACGCGCCCGAGAGCCGGGTACGCGGCACCACGCAGGGCCCCAGAGATCTGGCGCTCCAAACAAAAATGGGAGCTGGCGGTCTTGGGCCGTTTTCGGCCTCCAGGGGCCCGCGCTGGGCCCCTGGGGCAGTCAAACGTCGACGCGGGACGAGAGCCGTGTCCCGGGAACGTGGTCCAGACCTCGGGGGCCCACGCATCGAAAACATTGGAGCAGCCGGATGTCTGGGGCCACGCCGCGCCAGGGCGGGCAGGGGATCTGAGAGCTTGGCGTTCACCACCACGCGGCACCACAGGGGACCACCCAGTGACGTCACGGTCTTCTCTGGGGGGGGAAGGAAGTCTTCGTTGGTTCTTGCTCGTTTTCTTTGCCTCGGGGTGCCTTCCAGCAGCTGCGCCTCGTCGAGAGCTTTCCCGGGGTGCGCGGATCGCCCCGAACGGCCGATGGAAGCCCGACTTATGACCCGAAAACCACATGGACAATTAATCATATAGTTGAGGAGAAGCCAGCTGCTCTATCTGTTATTTTCGTTATCTTAGTCGTCGTCGTCGTCGTCATCGCCCTCTCCCCTCTCTCGTTTTCGTGGTCGTTCGTTCTCCTCAACCTCTCGTCGTCCTTGTCGCCCTTCACTCCTCTTCCCTCTTCTTCTTTCTCTCCTTCCTCTCCAGTGCTGGTTGGGCCACGGAAGCCTTTCGACAAAACCCCTCTCCCATGGATCCTCTGAATCGCGCATGCGAGGTTGCGAGATACACCATGGACCCGAGCATCGAGGGGACCATCCAACGCTGCATGGAGAGGTGTCAGCAGCCCGACCCTCCCTTCCGAGTGGCCGAAGCATTGAGTTCCGAGATATGGGCCCGCAGAGGGGAAGAAGAGGATGATTGATATGACGATAGCATTCAAGATGGTGATGGCGACGAGGATGATGGATGATGACCATGAGGGGCGGTGTTGAAGGCGGTCTACATGACGATTGTGATAACGATTGGGAGGAGGAGGAGGAGGAGGAGGAGGAATGTACACCCAAGACTCATCAACGATGTTGGAATACACCCTTCCTCCAAGCTCCCTCTTCATAGGCCCCCACAAAAGTTCCTGTCCACAGAGGGAGGTGTCCCGTTGGGGGACAATCGTGTGAACATCCAGAGGCGTGCCACAGCACCATTCTCAGGACTTCAACGCTACGAATCAAGCTGACTGCTGCGTATTGACGATCCTGAGCCGTGCCAGAACACCATTCCTGAGACTTCAACACCGCGATTCAACGTAAGTGCTGCGCCCTGACAATGCTGAATCGTTCCAAAACGCAGTTTCTGATGCTCTTGCGCCGTTTTAAAGCGAGTGTGCGCAGCGCTTAGGCGAGACCCACTTTTTGAAAACGCGCCTTCCTCAATCCGTGGAGCTCTTGCAATTTATGGAAATGATTGTGCGTGGCGGTGAGGCGAGAGCCACATTTTGAAAACTACCCGCCCCCAATACGCAAACATCTTGCATGTTTTTGAGACGAATGTGGGTGTCGTTAAGGCGATTGCCACATTTTGACGACGACCCGCCCTCCATTTGTGAAGCTGTTGCCAATTTTCAAGCTTGAGGGTCATATATAGTGAGGAAGTTACAGGCGCAACGCCCGGCCCGCCCTTCCGAGTGCCCCCAGCGTGCGACAGGGAGGAGTTGTTCATAAGGAAAAGGAATGGAGGATGAGGATGAGGAGGACCAGTGTAAACCCACTGGTCATCAACGATGTTGGAATAAACTCTCCCTCCAAGCTCACTCTGCATCGGCCCCTACACGGATTCATTTCCGCTGGAAGACCCTGAAGCATGCGAAAGCATTATTCCCGGGACTCCAACACCACGGATCAACCTGACTGTTGCGTCTTGACGATCCTGAATCGTGCCAGAACGCCATTCCTGGGAACTCCGTGAATCAACGTAACTGTTGCACCCTTGTAATTATCCTGAACGTTTCCAAACCACATTTTCTGGTTCGTTGACCATTGGAAGCCGTGAAACTCGTGCACTCTTCAGAAGATAATGGTCGCGGCGCTAAGGCAACAGCCACGTTTTGAAAAGGAGCCGCCCTCAATCCGTGAAGCTATTGCATTTTTATGAAGAGCGAATGTTCGTGGCGCTGAGGCGAGAGCCACATTTTGAAAACTACCCACCCCCAATACGCAAACATCTTACATTTTTTTGAAAAACGAATGTGGGCGTCGCTAAGGCGAGAGCCACATTTGGACGACGACCCGCCCTCCACTTGTGAAGCTGTTGCTAATTTTCAAGCTTGAGGGTCATAGATGGTGAGGAAGTTTCAGGCGAAACGCCCAGCCCGCCCTTCCGACGGGCCTCGGCGTGCGACAGGGAGGAGTTGTGCATAAAACAGAGGGAAGGAAATGAGGAGGACGAGGAGGAGGAGGAGGAGGAGGAGGAGGAGGAGGAGGAGGAGGAGGAGGAGGAGAAGGAGGAGGAGGAGGAGGAGGAGGAGGAGGAGAGGAGGAGGAGGAGGAGGCGAGGCGAGCGAGGCGGAGGCGGAGGCGGAGGCGGAGGAGGAGGAGGAGGAGGAGGAGGAGGAGGAGGAGGAGGAGGAGGAGGAGGAGGCGGAGGTTCGGTTCGGCTGTCCGCGGATTAGGATCAAGTCCTTTCTGGTAGGTGAGCGCCGAGCGCACTTGGGCCCGACGGGCGGAACCACCGTTGCAGCGGGCTCATCCTCACCTCGGGCGCGCGAAGCCAAGGGGAAGGACATTGAAAAGCAAGGGAGGCACCATAGGCCAATCAGAAAACGATACGCGTTCGCAAGACACACAAGAGGCTCCAGAGACCATCAACAAAACAGACGCAAGACGTTCGCCCTCGGCGCAAATACGGCGCCGGCGAGACCACCGGCTTGTGACCCCAGTGGAGGGTGAATCACGGCGGGACCGAGATCCCCAGGGGAGGGGAGGGGCCTAGTCCCACCAGGTCCTACCCCCTCTCCCTTGGGGGAGGCGCTTCCCAAGCCCTGAAAAAGGGGACCCGCCTCCGCCAGTCCTTGGGGATGGTCACCTGTGTATCTATACCCCGCCCACCCGGCAGCACCGACCACCCCGTCAGCCTCCAACCGACGGAGGGTGCCCCGGCTATCCCCAAGTCCTTGACGGGGCCCTGCTATCCAATTAGGGGGGATGGGAGGGGGATGAGGAGGGGGATGAGGAGGAGGAGGAGGAGGAGGAGGAGGAGGAGGAGGAGGAGGAGCAGGAGGAGGAGGAGGAGGAGGAGGAGGAGGAGGAGGAGGAGGAGGGTATGTTTCTCTGCTCGCCTCAGCACGTGTCGTCCGATACCTGCTGTCACTGCTGCTGCCCTGAGAGCCTTCAGCGGCGCTCCGGAGGCGTCGCGGGGGGCGGGTGTCTGCAGATCTGCAGGAAGCCGCTGTAAACTTTACCTCCTTCTCTTCCTCCTTCTCCCTCTCTCCTCTTGTCTCCCCCGCCCCCCTCTTTCCCTCGCTCCGCCTCCCCCCTCGTCATTATCCTTCGCCTCTTCGAAATTACCCGCCCAGACAGACTTGCACGCGAGAGCGACTTGACAATTTCGTGGCGAATCCAGCCATGGCGACGATAGTTTCCCAAGCGTCTCGTGTAGTCGGGTCAGGTTACGGGTAACTTTGTGTCATCCATCTTGCGTTTCATGCCATCTTCGTGTCTGGATCCCGGGTCGCCACCAGAAGGGACTGTGTCTTCTCGGGTGTCCTTTGGAATCGGTCCCATCTGTACGCTGCACAATTAATGCAAACATCATCCCACCATCCCCCCTTTCCATTCCTACGCATTTCCACTCTTCTCCTCCTACTCCAATTCCTCCTCCCTCCCTCGCTCCCTCCCTCTTCCTCCTCCTCCTCTTCCTCCTCACTTTCTTCCCCCTTTCTGTTCTCATTCTCTTTTCTTCTCCTCGTCCTCAGCCTCCCTCCCCCTACTCGGCCTCCTCCCGTCACTCCTCCCCCGTCCTTCACCTGCCACTGTCGACCTCACCTTACTTCGACGTGCTTTCCTCCTTCCTCCTCCTCCCTCCTCCTCCTCCTCCTTCGCCTCCTCCGCCTCCTCCTCCTCCTCTCCTCCTCCTCCTCTCCTCCTCCTCCTCCTCCTCCTCCTCCTCCTCCTCCTCCTCCTTCCTCTCCTCTTCCTTCTGCTCCTGCTCCTGCTTCTTCTCCTCCTGCTCCCCCTCCTCCTGCTCCCCCTCCTCCTGCTGCTCCTCCTCCTCCTCCCTTGACCTCCTCCTCCTCTTCTTCCTCCTCGTCCTCTCTCCTCCACATTCTCCTCCTCCTCTCCTCCTCCTCCTCCTCCTCCTCCTCCTCCTCCTCCCTCTCCTCTTCCTCCTCCTCCACATCGTCCTCCTCCTCCTCCTCCGCCCCCCCATCATCCTCCTCCTCCTCGTCCTTCTCCTCCTCCTTCTCCTCCATTCCTTCTCCTTATCTTCTCCCTGTCGCACTGAGAGGACAATTTGTATGTCGGGCTTGGCGTTTCGCTATGAATTTGCTCACAATTGATGACCCTGCAGCTTAAGCATTGACACTAGTTTAGCAGATGGAGGGCGGGTGGTTTTCAACATGTGGCTCTCGCTTTTGCGCCGCGCACAGTCGGTTTCAAAGTTGCAAGAATTTCACGGATTGAGGGCGACCCATTTTCAACATGTGGCTCTCGCCTTAGTGCCGCGCACACTCGTTTTAAAACATTGCAGGAGTTTCACGGATTGAGGGCGACCCGTTTTCAAAATGTGGTTCTCGCCTTAGCGCCGCGCACATTCGTTTTACACACTTGCAAGGGTTTCACGGATTCCCACGAACAGCGTACCATATTTTTTTGAAGGATTCAGGATTATGTATGATAGCGATTCAGGATCGCCAAGACGCAGCAGTCAGGCTGATCCGTGGCGATGTAATCCCGAGAACGATGTTTTGGCATGCTTCAGGATCTTCAAACGGATGTCTTCCAACGAGGCAGTTCCCTCAGTGGAAATGCACCTTTTTGTGGCCTATGAAGAGGGAGCTTGGAGGGAGGGTTTATTCCAACGTCGTTGATGACTCTTGGGTTTACACTGGTCCTCCTCCTCCTCCTCCTCCTCCATTTTCCTCCTCCTCCTTCTCCTCCTCCTCCTCCTCCTCCTCCTCCTCCTCCTCCCTCTCCCTCTTCTCCTCTCCTCCTTCCCTCCTCTCCTCCTCCTTCTCCTCCTTCTCCTCCTCCTCCTCCTCCTCTCACCCTCCTCCTTTTCCTCCTCCTCCTTCCCTCCCTCCTCCTCCTCCTCCTCCTCCTCCTCCTCCTCCTCCTCCTCCTCCTCCTCCTCCTCCTCCTCCTCCTCCTCCTCCTCCTCCTCCTCCTCCTCCTCCTCCTCCTCCTCCTCCTCCTCCTCCTCCTCCTCCTCCTCCTCCCTCTCCTCCTCCTCCTGCGGCGCCCACCGCAGGTGGGTGCCCGACGGCCCTGAGCGCAGGGAGCTGGCGGCCGCCCAGGGGCTGTCGGAGGAGCAGCAGGCCCGCCGCCGCCGCGGCTCGAGGATCGAGCGTCGAGGCTTCGAGATCCGATCGGTGGCCACATGCGAACCCTGCCCCACCACCCCACGATTTTTCTGAGGGGGGGAGGAGGCGGGGTTCACCTCGTTCGGGACCTGCGAGCGAGGAGAACCCCTCCTCCCCCCCAGGAATCGTGGGAAGGGGGGGCAGGGTTCGCAAGAGGCCTCCTCTTCGAGGATCGGGGCTCGAGGATCGAGGGCCGAGGAGCAGGCCATTCAGTTTCGAGGGCCGAGGCTCGAGGATCCTGGCGCCTTGACGTCTTTGGCTGTCCTCTCTGGGCCTCCTGGGGCCTCCGGAGATTTCCATAGACCTCCAAAGACCTCTGAAGGCTGTCGTCGTCGTGGTCGTCGTTGTCGTCGTTGTCGTCGTCGTCGTAGGAGGAGGAGGAGGAGTAAGGGGAGAAGCGGGAGGGTTGGGAGGAGGAGGAGGACGAGGAGGAGAAGGAGGAGGAGGAGGAGGAGGAGGAGGAGGGGGAGGAGGAGTAGGCGCAGGACGAGGACGAGGAGGAAAGCACGTCGAAATACCCGACCGACCGACCGACTGAGGTGGGGGACATCAAGTGTCTGCAATACGTCCCGAGGCGTGTCAACGCTGTGTGCCAATGCATTTTCAGGCGAGCACATAAAACTGGTCGATCAGAGGGTATTTGCACACCAACTTCACCACAGACTCGAAGTGCGTGCCTGTATGCTCATCTGGCCTACTCCAGCTGGGTGCCCCCCACCTTGCGCACGTGCATGGCATGTCGTTGGGACCAGGTTCCAGCATGCAGCACATCATCCCATAGCGGGCGCTGCTCACCTCCCTGGGCGGGTCGCCAATGCGTATACAACTGGCGTCTGAGCAGCATGTCGGTGATGGGCGTCCCGTTGTCTGGTGCACCTTGGCCGCTCGAGACGTGAGAGATTACACGGTGCTGCATCCGCTGATGGACGTGAACACCTGGGCCAGCGCCCCGTTCGGCCGCCCCATCCCCGCACTGGCGCCGAGGCTGCACCACGCGCTCCGGCACCGCGGTGGCGCCGAGCAGCGGCGCTTCCCTGCCGGGAGTGGTCGAGTCATGGCCACACGGCTGCATGTAGACGCCTGGAGGCGGCGAAGGCCACGCCGCTTCGCCTCGGTATCCCCGCGCCTGCTCGCCCATAGAGATGCTGGTTGTGGCACCCAGACGGGGCGGCGTATCTGTAGCCTCGATGTCGCCCCCTGTTGGCGTGCGGTCGTGCCCATACCACCGGGCAGTAGGTTGGAGGAGGGGGGCGGGGGGGGGGAGGGTATGAGTCCGATCGGGAGCAGGAGCCGGCTGCTTCTGCTCCCTTTTTCCCGCTCCTCCCAGTCTTCCCACCATCCACCTCCCCTCTTTTTCCCCTCCTGCTCATCCCTCCCTTACTCTTCTTCTTTTTCTGCTTCTTCTTTTTCTTCTTCCTCCTCCTCTTCCTCCTCCTCCTCTTCCTCCTCCTCTCCTTATTCTTTTTCTTGTTCCTCCTTCTTCCTCCTCTTCCTCCTCCTCTTCTTATTTTTTTTCTTTTTTCTTCTGCTTATTCTTCTTCGTCTTCTTCTTCCGCCTCCTCCTCCTCCTCCTCCTCCTCCTCCTCGCGCTCCGCGCGCCGCGTGCCAGGAGCAAGCCCGGCGTGGGCGCGCGCGCGCGCCCCGCTGCTCGCCGCCCGCCGGGCGCCCCTTTCGTCGGCCCGCCCTGCGTGTCTCTGGCACGGACGAAATGGGCACGGAAGGGGTGGGTACAGTGCCGTTTTCATGGCATGCTCCGCGTGCGGATCATGTATAAAAAATGCAGGGATTCAGCATTGAAAGCAACGATGAGTTCGTGCACAAATCTATTCATGAATTAGTCATGTATAAAACATCTTTTTCATAATTATTGCAAAACTCCCATGTATTAAAAACTGCCCTGTACGATGCCCAACAGCGGATCTGGTTCATTTTGAACAGGACTCGCTGTCCACGCCGCCGCGGCCCGTGTCCATTCGAGGCAGAAGGCCGCCTGCCCAACAGCGGCCGCTGTGGGTTTGGGACAGCATTTGCTGTTGGGCATGGTATCCAGTCTTTCCGTACCCATTTCGGGCGTCCAAATCTTTCTCTTCTTCCACCTCCTCCTCCTATTCCCCCTTTTCCTCCCCCTCCTCCTCCCCCTCCTCTTCCACCATCCTTTGTCCTCCCTGTCGCGCCCCCAGACGTGCAGGTAGGGCGGGCCGGGCGTTTCCCTTGAGGCCTGCTCACCATGTATGACCCTGAAGGTTGAAATTTGCGACACTGTGAAGGTGGAGGGCGGGTGGCTTTCAACATGCGTCTCGCGCTTAACGCCAGGCGCATTCGCCCTAAAAGCTTGCGCCAGTTTCAAGCATGGAGGGCGGGTAGTTGTCAACATGTGGTTCTCGCATCGACGTGCACATTCGTCTTCAAGGTTTGCAGCAATTTCAAGGAGGGATTGCGGTTGGTGTTCTAACATGTGCGCCGTGACATTCGTTTTCAACGTTTGTAGCAGTTTCAAGGATACAGGGCGGGTCTTTTTCAAATATGGCTCTCTTCTTAGCGCCGCGCGCATCCGTCTTCAAAGTCTGCAGCATCTTAGAGGATCGAGGGCGGTTGTTTTTCAAAATGTGGCTCTCGCCTTGGCGCCGCGAGCATATGTCTTAAATTTCTGTTGCAACGGTTCCAAGGATTCGTAGGGAAGTCCTAGAAATTGTGTCCTGGCAAGATTTGGAACTGTAGGGATGCAGAAGTCACGTTGTGGTTTGCGGTGTCGAAGCCCCAGGGGCTGTGTTTTGGCGTCGTTTAATTAGGCTCGTCAGGACTCAACGATAACGTTAGTTTGTGGCATTCAAGTCACAGGATCAGTTTTTTGGCACGATTGAGGGTTCTCAGACGATTGTCTTCTAGTGGGGCACTTCCCGCAATGAACATATATTTTGTAGGGACCTATTGCAACGTCGTTGATGCGTCTTGGTTTTGCTTGGGTCTCCTTCTCATCCTCCTGCTCCCCCCTCTCCTCCCCCCTCTCCTCCCCCTCCTCCTCCCTCTCTTCCTCTTCCCTCCCCTTCTCCACTTTCTCCTCCTCCCTCACCCACTCCTTTCCCGTACTCCCACTCTTCCGCCCTCCTCCCGTATTCCCTCTCCCCCTCTTCCTCCTCCCTCCCTTCTCCACGCCCTCCCCCTCCCACATCCACCCTCTTCACCCATCTCAACATCCATCCTTCTCAACGTCCTCCTCTTACTCCTCCCCCACCCCCCTCGTCGTACTCCCCCTTCTCCCTCCCCTGGCGGGGTCTGCAAGGCCGCCTCGGAGGAAGTGCGCCGCGCCGAGAAGACCGGAGCTGCGCGCCCAGCGGAGGGCGGAGGGCGGCGGCTGCTGGGACGGGGCCAGCGCCGCCGCAGCCGCGGCAGCCGTGGCGGCGGGGCACCGCAAGAGGCGTTGGAGCTGCTCGCCAAGCTGAAGGGGTGCGTGCAGGGAGGGGAGCGGAAGGAGTGCGTGCAGGGAGGGGCCGGGCCGCCGGAGGTGCAGTCCCGGCCGTCTCGGGCGGAGTTGCGGTGGGGCACCTGCGCAGCGCCGCCGCAGCCGCGGAGGCGGCGCAGCTGACGCAGCAGGGCTCGAGTCACGCGGGGTTTGGCAGCGGGAGGCGCGGTCGTATGCCGAGGTTGGGGCGCAGCTCCGTCAACTCGACCGCGGGTGCGCTGGGGCCAAAGCCGTGCACGCGGCCCTGGGCGAGCATGGCAACGGGCCGAAGACCCGATGCGGCGTTGCCCCAGCACGGCGCCAACGTCCAGTCGCACCCTGCCAGCATCGGAGCGGCTGGTACCGAGAGCCAAGCTCCCGGGGCTGCCGACGCGACCAATCAGGGTATGTATAACTGCGCACCTTTATGTATGCGGCTCTCGTGGGTCGGGGTCCCTGGCGCGTCGGCAGCGAGTCTGCACGGAGCGGACAGCCCATCGGCGCAAGCAAACGCTTACAACCCATCGACGATGTGGTTGGGCAACCGCTGTCCGTCTTGGGAGTCGGAGCTCCACAGTTCACCAGCAGCAGCAGCGCGAGCGACGTTGGTGGCACTGCTTCACTTTTTCCATCGTCTTGTCCGCTATGCTTCAAGGTGCAGAATCATCGTTGGCGGAGCATGCCAGCAAGCGGGTGGCCGGGGTTGTGTAGCTCCAGCGGCAAGTCGACGAGAGAGCTGAGTTCGAGCTGTGCCCAGAATAACCAGCTGGCGCCCGAGCAGGGCAACTTCAGCGGGTGGTCTCGCAGCTGCATGCCACCCGTCTGTATGACCAGGCTTGCGCGGGCCAGTTCGGGGCGCGGGATTAGTCGTCCATGCTGTCTGGGCCAAGCATGATTGAACTCGCGCCAAATAATGACCCTCAAAGTGGGGCCGAGTAGACCTGGTGGTGATTGTGTATCTGTTCAATTGTGCTGTTATCCTCAGCCTTCGCCTTCTTCTCCTCTCCCTCTGTTTTCCCCCCCTGCTCTGTCGTCGTCCTCGTCTCTGCCATCTTCCTTATGCATCTCATCCACCTCATGTGCGCAACGTATCCACCTCTTCTCAGCCACTCGTCCATCTCCCCTCCTCTTCGTCCTCCTCGTCCTCCCCCCTCTTCCTTCTCCCCCTCCTCCTTGCTTGTGCCGTTTCAGCGCGACCCTTCGGCCCGAAGCATGTTAAGCCTGTCTCGTCGTTGTTGTCCCGCTTCTCAGTCTCCTCCTCCTCCTCCTCCTCCTCCTCCTCCTCCTCCTCATCGCAAGTGGTTCGTGGCACCGCTGCTTGTGCCGAACGGTCCAGGCGGTGGGGGACCGCAGCACCCCAGAGGCCAGCCGGCCAGGTGTGCGCCCTTGCCCCGGCCTCGGCCGCAGGTGCTCGAGTAGGAGGAGGAGGAGGAGCAGGAGGAGGAGGAGCAGGAGGAGGAGGATGAGGAGGAGGAGGAGGAGGAGCAGGAGGAGGAGGAGGAGGAGCAGGAGGAGGAGGAGGAGAAATAAGAAACGGCAGAAGCCTGATTTCTCGGAGCTCCGCGCGGATGTCTCGGATCGGCGTTGGCCCCCCCCCCCCCCCCGTCTGCGCCTCCGCGCCGCCCCGGGCGTGCTCCGCGCGCCAGGGAGGGGGGTCCAGCGCCGATCCACGAGTCCGCGCGGACACCCGAGAAATTATGCTTACGCAGTTTTCTGTTTTTCTAGGTGCACGGCCACCTTCTCGCAATGCAGCTTCTTTGGCGCGTGGTGCCCGCTGCGAGTTCGTTCGAACTTATTCGCGTAGCCATTCTCGAACTAGCTTTTCGTTGTACCTGCGGAGGAAAGGTGCCGATACCGTACCGTTCCCTCGTTCTCGCCTGTTTTTGCCTTCTGGGAAGCCCTCGTCGCCACGGCTGGATTCGCCTCGAAATTCTGGTCAGAACGCAGCCCAGGAGAGAGGTCCGGGGGTTGGCGGTATCGGCACCTTTTGGTCCCCCCTTCTATAGGGTTCAAGCGGTGGCCAAGTATTGTCCCCCAGAACCGCTCCCTGGGGGTCCTGTGGCCTGGTCGCAGTCCCGTCTCTAGGTGCATTCCGCGTGTGACCCTGGGAGAGGTCTGGGGAGTGGCGGTATCGGTAACTTCTTTCGAGGAACAGACAACTTCATACATATAAACGTTCGGAGGTCCGCGCTGATTTCTTGGATCGGCGCTGAACTCCCCTCCCTGGCGCGCGGAGCGCGCCAGGGGCGGCGCCGGAGGCGCCGCCAGGGGGCTCCAGCGCCGTTCCGAGAAATCCGCGCGGACATCGTAAGTTTTTCTCCAAGGCATTATTTGTGCCCCGATTTTGCCCCCTCAAGTATTCTGGAGAGGGAAAAACACACAGACACAAATAATCGTCGACTCCCATGGAAATGTTGGGAAATATGGAAAGTAGGGGGGAAGACGACAATCCAGAAAATGTGGGACAATATGGGGAATCCTGGGATTTTTGTATCTGTTTATCTGTGTGTCCCTGGGCCCCTTTATATCTGTGCCCCGATGTTGCCCCCTCATCTACAGAGTCCAAGCGATGGCCATTGATTGCCCCCTACAAAGCCGCTCCCGGGGGCTTCCGTGGCGTGGCCTGGTCCAGGTCCTGCCTCCGCGCGTGTGCCCCTGCCCCCCCGTCCCCCCCTCTCTCCCCTGCCATTCGGGTGCCCTGCTGGGAGAAGTCTTTGCGCGCCTTCGCGCGTTCATTCAGCACGAAGTCCTCGGACTCTGTCGTCGTCGTCGTCGTCGTCGTCGTCGTCGTCGTCGTTGTCGTCGTCGTCGTCGTCGTCGTCGTCGTCGTCGTCGTCGTCGTCGTCGTCCTCGTCCTCGTCCTCTTCCTCCTCCTCCTCGCCCTCCGTCTGGTCCTTCCCCTCGTCTTCCTCTTTGCCTGCCTCCTCACCCTCGCCCTTCTTGCCTCCTCCTCTGCCCTCCCACGTTGACGAGAGCGGAAGCGACGAGGATGCCGGCGGCGACGACAACCACGACGACGACGGCAGACGACGGTGGTGACGGCGGCGGCGGCGACATCGGCGACGGTAGGCGGCGGCAGCGGGCGGCGACGGCGGCGCTGGCGATGTCGTGGGCCCCGGCCGCCGCGGGCGCAGGCAGGCCGCTCAGATCCTCTCCCTGCCCGAGGCCTTCTGCACCGGCGCCGCAGTCGGGGACCCGCAGGCCGCCCCCTTCGTCGTGTTCGTCGTGTTCGTCGTCGTCGTCGTCGTCGTCGTCGTCGTCGTCGTCGTCGTCGTGTTCGTCGTCGTGTTCGTCGTCGTGTTCGTCGTCGTGTTCGTCGTCGTGTTCGTCGTCGTCGTCGTCGTCGTCGTCGTCGTCGTCGTCGTTGTCGTCGTCGTCGTCGTGAGCTTCCCAAGGCTCCAACGGACTGACAAGAATCAAGAAGGAGGCTGTTCGCCGGGTGGGGCCTCTGGGGGCCTTCGCCAGGGCCCGCAGTTGCCTCTCAAATGCCTTTCCTGGGCCCGCCGGCCGCTCCGAGAGGTGGCCCTCGAAGGCCTCTGGAGGCTCTCGGAGGCCTCTGGAGGCCTCTGGAGACTTTGGGGCCAGAGACACCCGGGAGGCCTCTGGAAGCCCGGAGGCCTCCGGAGGCCCTCGGAGGCCCCCGCGGGCCTGTGGGGACCTCTGAGGGCGCAGAGCTCTCCAGGTGGGGCCGTCGGCGCGGCGGCAGAAGCCGATCAGGAGGGGAAGAAACACACAGACACAATTAATCGTCGACTCCCAGGAAGATATGGGAAACACAAAAACTCAGAACATATGGGAAAATATGGGGAATCTTTTTATTTGTGTGTCTTTATTTGTGTGTCCCAGGGCCCCTTCAGCTGAGGCTCACCTCGTCAAGGCAGGGACCTGGCGTGCGCCGCTCAAAGGTCACCGCGTCCACACTCAGGCGCCAGGAGGCGCCAGGGAAATCAGCTGCGGGAGCTGATTCTCCAACCTCCCTTTACGACCCTCCTTTTCGTCCGACCCGACCTCCCCTTTTCCCCTCCCTCCTTCGGGGAGGAGTGTGTGTGGTGGTGGGGGGGGCATTTTCGCTTCAACGGCGCCCCTGTTTAGCTCACTCCGCCAGCGCAGACGATTCCTGCCTCGCCGCCGACGCAAAAAGTGTGTGTGTGTGTGTGTGTGTGTGTGTGTGTGTGTGTGTGTGTGTGTGTGTGTGTGTGTGTGTGTGTGTGTGTGTGTGTGTGTGGGGGGCAGCGGAGTATTGTGGCGGTGAACCCTGCCTGGTCGGATTGCGGGAGGGCGGGCACCGTGGCCCTGTGCCGTTTTTGGGAGTCGGGCTGCCTCGGTGCCGTCTCGTGGCCTTCGGGGAGCCTCTCTGGCGGCTGACGGAACCGTCCAGGTCGGCCCGTGGCTCATCGGTCGAGGAAATGAGAACATGGATCACGGCGCGTGGATCAGCGAGGGGCTCCGTTTCGGTACGAAGTCGACGCACTCCGTCGCCAGCTGAAGCGGCACCGCCTTCGTGTTTCGGGGGTCCCCTCCCCGATCCATGGATCCAGCGCCAACGCGCCAGATACACGGGACGTTAGTGTGTGCCCGAAGCAGAGTGCCTCGAGAGGGTCCATTGGATACCGTCGAGTCTCGCAGGACGAGCATGCGAGCGCACCCGTCATGTGTGTGTGTGTGTGTGTGTGTGTGTGGCGTCTTTCGCCTCCCAGGGATATTTGAGGGCCTCCTTGGGGGCCTCGCGGCGCCGAAGTGGGGGCCTTCGGGCCGTTTCAACGCGTCATGGGGCTGTATATGGGAAGGCTTTTGGGCCGGCTGAGTTGATCTTGGGGCCTTCTTTGGACGTCTTGGGACGGTGCTTCGGGATGCTTGAAACTATCTTGGGACCGTCTGCGGCACTCACGTCGAAAGACCTTCCATAGGCCCCCTTGGGCATAATTCGGGGAACAAAGATGGCGTAAGCATACCCGACGGTCGTTGAAAATAAGTAACTCTGGATTCCCAGATCCCAATCTACTTCAAGCGCCTTCCTACCTCAGGAAACGAATCGCCTTGTGGTGTTTGGTTATTCTCTGGGAGGGCCTGAACCCAATCTACTTTACCCGCCTTCCTATTATTTGTGATATATATATACATATACACACATATATATTTATATATTTATATATATATATACACACATGTAAACTAACCTATTCTGACCGCCGGGCATTCGAGGAACAAAGGTGTCGTGCACATACACTGCCGAAGCTCCGCGCGGATCTCTTGGGTCGGTGTCGGGGCCTCTCTGGCAGGGCCTCCCGCGCTGCCCCTGGCGCGCTCCGCGCGACGGGGGGGGGTGGCCCAGCTCGGATCCAGGGGCTCCGCGCGGACCTCCGATCGTTTGCACGCCAGTCGTCGGAAGCAGGTACTCCAGATCTCGTAATGAAGGGAGGGGGGTCTCATTTCGGGGGGGGGTCTCTTCCAGGCTATCTTGGAGGGCCTGGGGGGTCCGGGGACGATGTTTTGGAGGGTTCTCCCACGGGGGAGGTCTGAAATGGCTTGTCTTGGAGGGTCCAGACCCCCTCCCTTTTATTACGAAATCTGGAGTATTTTTGGATACCCATGTTCCAATCTGCTTCAAGCGCCTTCCTACCTCAAGAATCAATCGAGCCGGTTTTGCTGCGATGTGTTGCTCTGGGAGGGCCGTAACTCAATCTACCTTATCCGCCTTCCTACTTCATGTTGTTGCCCACTTCTTCCAACCGACGTGGACGCGGTTGTAAGGCAAGCGCCGTAGAGCAGCCTTACAGTTCGTCAGCGTTTTGAAGTCCTCCTCCGTCTTCTCTCTTCGTCGCACTCGTCCCTCGCACAGGTTATCGTTTTTTATTCATTGTTTTTCCGATCGGCGCGGGACCTCGCCCTTTCCCCCCTCCTGGAGCAGATCTTGGCTGTTTTTGGCGCCTGTTTCGAGCGGGTAGGGTCCCTCCCCCATCGGCCGCACTGCTGCAAGCAGTCGCACTAAAGCAGAGGTCCGGAGCCAGACCCCCCCTCCCCCCCCGTTCCGCCCGATGTCGAAACGCCGAAGAGAGAAAACGTTGAGCGTCTTCTCTCTTCGTCGCACTCGTCCCTCGCACAGTGAGCGGCCAGGCGGCCTGTTGGCTGAGAACGCAGCTTCCTTACCGAGGCTACGGCCTCCAGGCCATGCCCTACTGGGCACGGGCGGGCTCCCTGGCAGAGCGGGCACGACTTCGTCTCGTCTCGTCTCGTCTCGTCTCGTCTCGTCTCGTCTCGTCTCGTCTTCGTCTTCGTCTTCTTCTGCTTCTTATGCTTGTCGTTTTTATTCCTCTTCCTCTTCCTCCTCCTCCTCTTCCTCCTCCTCCTCCTCCTCCTCCTCCCGAGTGATGCTCCTCTTGCCTCCTCTCTCCCTCCTCTTCCTCCCGAGCCCGCCGGAGGCCACCCTGAGCCTGGAGCTCGAGGTCCTGGAGGCCCCGAGAGCGCGGGCGCCGCGGGCGCCGCTCTCGGCCCGGCCTCCGCCGTCGAGGGGGACGGGAGGGGACGGGGAGCGTGCACCGGGGAGCGAAGGATTGCAAAAAAACCAAGGATTGCAAACAAACCCAGGGTTTTTTTGCAATCCTTCGTTTTTTTTTTTTGTTTTTTTTTTTTTTTTGCAATCCTTCGTTTTTTTGCAATCCTTCGTTTTTTTGCAATCCTTCGTTCGGGTTTTTTGCAATCCTTTGGTAAAAGGCCCCAGGGGCAGGGTCCGCACGGCGGCCACGTACCCGCTTCGGCGCACCCTTCGCACGTCTCGTGGCCCCATCATGTGGACCTGCCCCTCCTTCGTCCCACGTGCCTCGCGGTGCGATGCTCGCACCCGCTCACGGTCGGGTCCGTCGCCAGGGTACTCCGAAGTAATTCATTGTTTTCTGGAGCCCGGGGCCCTCTCTGGGCCAGTTGGCCGTCGCGAAAACGGCTCAGGATGACAAGCTGGTCCCGGGGCAAAGCCCCGGGGTGGGGAGAGGGGGAGGGGGAGAGAGAGAAAG